CAATATGATACTGATTACCAAAAATATAATTACTAATGTAAGACTGGTTTTAAGTAGTGTTCAGAATATCATGGTGAGGATACTTTAAAAAGTGGGGCGGTGGGGTAGCCTATGGGGTTAAAGCATCTGCTCGTCACGCTGAAGACCTGGGTTCGATTCCCCACAATGGTACAATGTGTGAAGCCCATTTCTGGTGTCCCCCGCTGTGATATTGCTGGAATATTGCTAAAAACGGCATTAATCTATACTCATTCACTCACTCACTCACTCTCTCACTCTTAAAAAGAAATGGAAAATAACGCTCAAGGAAACGTGATGTTGCTTCACAATGTTCACATATCTCTTTTTTTTTCTCTCTCTCTTTTGTTCTCTCTCTCTTAAAAAGAAATGGAAAATATAGTTTAAAGAAATGTGTAATGTTGCAAATCAGCAACATGAGAATTTGGTTTCAATTCCGGTTTGTGTTTCAATGTGTGTTAGCGCCATACCTATGTACATGGGATTCATCAAAGTGGTAGATGTCTTGGATCTACATCACATTAGACCCTCCTCCCACACAATGCTGGCATCCATGACAGAACCGTAGTAGTGTTCCAAGTGACACTGAAGCCAATGCAATCACTCACTGACTCACTGTTAGCTCATTATGAAATCTAATACATCAGTTTATACCTGCAGCAACCAATGACCTGAATGTTATTCTTACAATGTCAATCCAATCTAATATAAACTCAAACTAATAAGAATTAAAAAAAAATTGGGGAAAATAAGGAATTAAAGGTTTTAATTTTAGTGTTTTCCGACATATAGTTCACATTCTATATTGGAATGCTGATCAAAGAGTTCGCTGACTGTCATAACTAATCAAGCTTCATACATCTGAGCACATTGAAATTCGATTGAGATTAAGGTCAAGGACATTGCCATCTCGTGATGATTTCTCGTGGAGCTGGCATTTAGTGCACCTTGTTTCGAACTCTGCCATGGAGAGGAAGGGATGAAGACTTCAGAATAAGTCTTATGGTTAAGAAAGGAAGAGAAGAGTATTGCTAACTAGATTGGTGATTTGCGATAATTGCTTCATGGCTATTCAGCTGGTGCTATTAAGTACAGAGTCACTTTGAAGTGAGATTGGATTGGTTAGTTTGAACATTTTGATAACTTAGCGAGCACCATGGGGGATATTGGTCTTGAAGAGATATTTTTCCAATTTTCATACCTTTCAGATACATTCCACTATTATGCATCTTAATGCCACTGAAAGACATTATGCATCTTGTTTTGATTAAGATGATATTATCATTATGTTTATTAGGTTAAGTTGTGCATGTTTTCATAAAAAGTTAAATGTGAATTTGCTATGTTAAGCCTGATTGTGCTTCTGTAGTTAACTAGCTACAGCAATTGAGATGCCTGTTTTGAAGTGGTGGTAATAGTAAGAACATTATTTTGGTTCCTTATGTTAAGAAAAATAAAATATTTTTAAAATTAATGACATGATGTAAGACTGAAAAGCCAAGTGTGTATCGAACGTATGGTTAGGATACACTATAAATTCATGGAAAAAAGGTTTTACGGAAAACGTCACAATCTGGCCCCATATTTTTAATTAGTGTCAGGTGTGAAACTTAGACGTTGTCTCTGTGTTAGTAGGGCCATCAACTGCTAGATAGAGGTACTTCAGGAAATTTGAGTCCACAGGTAAACAGACCAGGTTTAGAATGACTTGAAGGAAACTTGTTGAGACTGCCAATCACCCAGAACCTGTTGCCGTAAGGCAGTATATTCAAACATTGGGTCCTTTGCTGGTCTGGCCCTGATGTTGTAATGAGAGGACTGTGCAAACCTTAAACATTGTTTAATTGGCACTCGGTGTGCGATTCTGACTGACTGACTGAACTCACTCACTCACTCACTCACTCACTCATACGCATTCACTCACACTCTCTCACTCACTCTTCAAATGTTCATGGTAGTTCATGTACAAAATAAACAGGATAAAAAACCCAGTAAGAATCATGAATGTCAGGTGTGTTCAAAGGTCAAACTGATTCCAACCTTCAAAATGTGATAGTTGAAACCATTGTGTTATATTGTCTTTCTTTCTCCACCAAAGTAACCCCAAACTGACCCATTCAACCATACACAGAGACACATTTTTAGCGGCATTATTAGCCCCCCAACCCTTTAAGTAACAGAAAAAAACCTAGTGGTGTTTGTTCTTCCTTGGATCATAAGAAGCGACTGACGGGATTGGGTGGTCAGGCTCACTGACTTGGTTGACGCAAGTCATTGTATACCAATTGCATAGATAGATGCTCAATCACTAGATTGTCTGGTCCAGACTTGAATATTAACAGACTGCGTCGTATAGCTGGAATTGTGCTGAGTGCAGAGTAAAACACCAAACAAACAAAAATCCTTGGATTGTTTACCCGTGAAGGTCCGGGTTAGAATGAACCTTCAGCAACCCATGCTTGTCATAAGAGGCGACTAACGGGATTGAGTGGTCAGGCTTGCTGGCTTGGTTGACACATGTCATCGGTTCCCAATTGCGCAGATTGATGCTCATGCCATTGATCACTCGATTGTCTGGTCCAGACTAGATTATTTCCAGAAATCCACCATAAAACTGGAATATTGCGGACTGCAACATAAATCTAAACTCACTCACTCTCTCCTTGGATTGTTAGAAGGTGTCTGGTAATTTGCATTGCCAGCAGTACTTTGGCATCTTTAGTTCTGACATTACTGCTATTGTTTGACTAATCTACATTTACACTTTGTAGTTGATCATCCATGACATGAAGCTGCCATATTTCCATGATTGATGGCATACAGTTGTTATACAATATATGGTGGCTCGGAGTGAAATATTTGTTTACCCCCAAAACCCAGACTGTTTACACCATCTTGGAAGTGTCTGCCTGTCAGTTCATCCATTATGTGGGGACATGTGTGGCCTGTTGTCTGAGGTGCAGGAATTTGCTGTACTGAGTTGTGTCCCTTAGGCATGACAGGATTCTATGAATCACCCTGCATATGTTCCCAGGTTGGATACCTAGAGAGAAATGAAGGAAACTATCAGTCAGTGTTTACTGAAATACTTATATCACAAGATTTTGAAGGTTCAAACTTTGTACTCTTTGGGGTTGAAATAAAAATATTATAACACTCTTTCTTCAGGTGATCTCAATAATGTATTGCTGTTTTAGTTGGAATGAATGAAAACAATATTTAGGGTTTGGGGGACAGGTCAGGGTTAAATCAAGTTAGTTACTTTTCCTACTGACCTTTGAAATATTTATTGTTCCAGTTATAAGCAAGGAGGAAGTAGAAAAATGACTGTAGCTAAAATAATGACTTGCCACAAAATGTTTACATTTATTATCAGCTATAATCTATTAATAAACAAACTGTTATTTTACATGATTTATATTTAGTCATTTCTTAATAAAATATTTGAAAACCACTCTAATTCATTGACACCTATGAGAGGCATGTTGTTCTGGAAATTTTCTGTCAGATTTAATTACCACTTATCTGATTGATTTTGTGTATGTTCATATTAATGTCCCTGTTGATATTCCATCTGACAGTTTAATGTGTATTTATCTCATCTGTAGTGACTGCACTTATATTCCTCATTAAACTGTCAACAATATATCCTTTATATTAGAACTAAAATTGTTAATCTGAATGTAGGTCTAAACTACATCAATCAAACTTCTCATTGGAGGACTGATGATCTGACAGTTTGGCTAGTGGAATAATAAAACTGCTATCCTGTTAGTATGAGGGTAGTGGAATAATAAAACTGCTATCCTGTTAGTATGAGGGTAGTGGAATAGTATAAACTGCTATCCTGTTAGTATGAGGGTAGTGGAATAATATAAACTGCTATCCTGTTAGTATGAGGGTAGTGGAATAGTATAAACTGCTATCCTGTTAGTATGAGGGTAGTGGAATAATAAAACTGCTATCCTGTTAGTATGAGGGTAGTGGAATAGTATAAACTGCTATCCTGTTAGTATGAGGATAGTGGAATAATAAAACTGCTATCCTGTTAGTATGAGGGTAGTGGAATAGTATAAACTGCTATCCTGTTAGTATGAGGGTAGTGGAATAGTATAAACTGCTATCCTGTTAGTATGAGGATAGTGGAATAGTATAAACTGCTATCCTGTTAGTATGAGGGTAGTGGAATAATATAAACTGCTATCCTGTTAGTATGAGGGTAGTGGAGTATGAGGGGTAGTAATAATAAAAACTGCTATCCTGTTAGTATGAGGGGTAGTGGAATAGTATAAACTGCTATCCTGTTAGTATGAGGGTAGTGGAATAATAAAACTGCTATCCTGTTAGTATGAGGGTAGTGGAATAGTATAAACTGCTATCCTGTTAGTATGAGGGTAGTGGAATAGTATAAACTGCTATCCTGTTAGTATGAGGGTAGTGGAATAGTATAAACTGCTATCCTGTTAGTATGAGTTAGTATGGGATAGTGGAATAGTAAAACTGCTATCCTGTTAGTATGAGGGTAGTGGATTAGTATAAACTGCTATCCCATTAGTATGAAGGTAGTGGAATAGTATAAACTGCTATCCTGTTAGTATGAGGCTAGTGGAATAGTATAAACTGAAAAAGTATTACCTTCTGTATACCAAAAGTATTATTTTCTGGCATATGGCCAATGGAATAGGATAGATTGTTTGTCAATCAGTATAAGACTACTTGAAAAATAACATGTGCTAATGTGTGGCCAGGGGAGTAGCATAGACTGCTTCCATGGGTGCATAGTACCATCATTTTTTAAAATAGTAGCTTCTGGTCACAAGCTCCCAATTTCATATGCATGTAGTTTATGCTTGAATGGTATATGTTCCTGTAATCATATCCAACTCACTCACAGGGGACATTCATTACGAGGACAAGCCATAGAGAGCTGTCAGACATCACATTTATGCATGTATATAACCTTGTTGATTCTTTCATTTCAGAGTGGATGACAGCCTTGACTATGTTCCTGTCCCAGTGAGGAATTACAGAGTTGTCTGCCCACTGTGACCATCACCTTGTCCACAATGACGACCTACTCGGGTCACAACACAACAGGGAGCTTTCTCCATATTGCCTTTTCCCCTTACAGTCCTTTGACCACAGTTAACCCCAACATGACTACAGAACCAACTCCAGGCCCTGACGGACCAAACTGCACTGCAAAATACATTCCTGGCGTACTCAGTGAATCCGCCTCCATTGGTCTGGAGTCCTTTAGCAGCAGCTATGGACATTATCATGGTTATGTCAGTGCCATAGTGTGCTTCTTTGGAATGATGGCTAACATTGCCAACATCATTGTGTTGACTCGCAAGAATATGATCTCATCCACAAACACGATATTGATGTGGCTGGCTGTTGCCGATCTGCTCACGATGATGTCCTATTTCCCTTTCGCCATCCACTTTTACATCCTGCGCGATCCACAACTACCGATGTTCCACACTCTCTATCATGGCTGGATCTGGTTCCTGATGTTTCATGCTAACTTCAGCATTGTGTGTCATACTGTGGCAATATGGCTGACGATCGCTCTCGCTATATTCCGTTACATTTACATATGTATGCCCACTAGGGGCATGGTGTACTGTAGTCTAAGACGTGCAAAAATTACAATTTTCATAGTTTATTTTCTAACTTTTATTATCTGTATTCCAAATTATGTCATTAACCGTATAGAGAAAATGACACGGGAGGAGATGCACTTGCTGTATGGCATGCCGATGCCGGAATCAGGTAACCGAACTGAAAATCATACCCAGGACAAAGTGTATTTTCCTTATCAGTGGAGAGAATCAGAAGTTGCTGAGATCATTCTACAGATCAACAACTGGATCCAGGCGATCTTCATCAAACTGATTCCGTGTGTTATGCTGATGACACTCACAATTCTGCTTGTCCATGCCATGCACAAAGCCTACCGCAAACGCATGAGGTTAAAATCAGAAGGACGCAAAGCCGAGTCTGACAAACATGGTGAACACAATCGTACGACTGGGATGTTGCTGGCTGTGGTGGCGCTGTTCATGATCACCGAGTTACCCCAGGGCCTTCTATCTCTGATGAACATCTTCATCCCATGTTTCCAAGACAAGGTGTACAACAGGCTCGGGGACCTTCTCGACATCATGGCTCTCCTCAATAACTCAATCAACTTTGTCCTGTACTGCACCATGAGCAAACAGTTCCGAGACACCTTCATGGAAGTCTTCTGCAAAGTCTGCACCAAAAACAAACCAGGCTGGCTCAAACTTAAGGTGGTCTCTTCCACCAATGGGAACTCCAGGTCGTCTGAAACCAATCACACGCATGTTTGATGGTCTCTTGCTGATCAGTAGAAACAGAGATCATGCAATTATTTCATCTGAGATCTCTAAAGTTTGCAAGGAGGAAAGTGGAACCAAACCAGCGAACTTTAGTTGATGGAAGTGTCTGGTTACCATGGTTCCAGGAAACTGTTGTTTTTGGAGACAGTGTAAGAAAATGGTAATCAGTGGGCTGTGATACAAGGAACTGTGCATTTGAAAGGAAGAGGTCACTGGTTACCATGGTTTGGAAGCTATTGTTGCAGATGTCAGGTACGGAGACTATGTTCACTTGGAACTTGATGTCAGAAATAGAATTATGGACTGAAAGGACACAGGTGTGATCCACATACACTTAGTAGGTTGTTATTCCTGTCTGGGCATAGAGTGACAACGGTCTTACAGTTGTATGTAGGAAGGAATTGGCCTTGAACTTGGACAACAAAAACTGAACAGATATTGTGTTGAAAATCTACTGGGAAGAGACTTGTGGATCTGTTCTGATTCATGTTGTAGCTGAGTGTGTACAGTGGACTCAGATGTTTGAAGGTTATGTGATGAAATGATGGCAGTCTGACCTGATATACTGTTGTGGAAACTGGTTGTTTCTGGCAGCCTTGGAAAGTGATGATAGCTTGTTTCTCAGCATTGAGACTGGCAACTAATTTGTTAGAACTAATGATATGATATTTGGATGATGACTTGTGGAGCAGACACACAGCTTGGATATTTCCTCCAGAATGTTTTTATGTTCCATGGACTTACTCCATGGATCAAAGAGATTTCGGGGAACTGATGTGTACAAAGTATTGAGTGATTGGTTCATGGTTTGTGAGCAAATACTTCAGTACCATCGTCTTGCAGAACACTGTCCACTTCATAGACAGGATTGGGATGAGTAAGAACATACTGGACCATATCTAGTTGCTTAGAGACTTGAAGAAACTTCATCCAAATGAACATATCTGACCTAACCTTTGCCATTGTTTATATGGAGAGTCTGTGATTGATAGATTAGATGGCAACACGGTCCTGCTGGACAGACATCCCTGAAGTCCAAGCATCGACTCCTGCTGTCTCTACATGGTCCTGCTGGACAGACATCCCTGAAGTCCAAGCATCGACTCCTGCTGTCTCTACATGGTAACAATAAGTTCTTCTCACAGTGTTACTATGGTGACTGACACCGTATGACCCCTTGCTGTGTTCTGTTACCTGCTAGAGCAACAGGATGTTTGACCGGACTTCAGCGATTTCTGTCAGCAACAAGGCCACTGTTTCTTTTAGCAACAAGACTCAAGAAGAGAATGCTTGTCTTGACTACAGTGTCTTCTGCTAGCAACAAGACTGTTACACAGCTATAAAGTTTGACTTGGATAATGATCATCTTAACAAGGTGGATTGTGTAAGGTAGAAGACTATTTCAAAGGAAGGCGTATGTTTCTCAGCATTGGGAGCAAGACTCGTGGACTGTGTAAGGTCATTGTGCTTGGTGATAGCTGGCAGAAACAAAACTGTTTGACTGGAAAATAGTTTGTCCAACTTTCTGGGCTTTTGCAGAAACAAGACCATCTTAACTAGCATCAGCAGTTTTCATTTGAAACTGTATAGACCAAATATTGCGTTAAAATGAGGTCAGCACCGTGCCCATGCTGTCAATGTCTATACACTCTAGTGATAAAGAGGTTTAATAAATGAACTCAGTTTAATGGAAAATCATGTGAGGGGGAAGACAAAAATGGGGATACCATTGGCCAATTGTACACTTTGCCCCTCCCAAAAAATATGGAAAGTATATTTTATGCTGTGGCAGTTTGCACCCGCAAGTGTTGACAACTAATTGTATATAGACATAGTTAAGCATGTTGGTGTGTATAGTCTATAATAGGTGAAGATCATGTTTGTTTTATGAATATTGTCTACAGATGTTGATACTAATTAACCGAGTACATGTACATCATTTTTCTGTTGCAATGATACAATAGCTTCATCATTATGTACATACAAAAAATTACAAACATAAAAGTTGAAATCTTGTTTTGATTTATCAAATTTGAATTTTGAAAAATGTGCACCTTTGACTTATTTTTAAATTGCAGTATATGCTGTTTTATTACTTAAATTTTTATTTTCTTCATAAATGATTGGTCACAAATGCTTATATCTCTACCAAGCATACTCATATATATATTTGATACAGGTTCATTGATATAGTGTGTATAACAGTGGTGAGCATGGCCAAAGTGGGTGATTTTATGGCACTTCACTGACTTACTCTTAGCAATAAGACATTTTCTTCTGGACTTGTATAGATCTAAACCCACTGTGTCAGATATTTTTAATTCTCATTTTCACTTTTTTGATTTTATGAGTTTTTCTTTAGGGGCATGTTACGAAATATTCAATTTGTGTTGAAAAGTGATTGTGGAAACATTATCACACATCACAGTTTAATTAGGATTTCAATCTTTGGTTATTGGTTGAAACTGTATAAAAATGCACTGTACAGATAATCATTTGTTTAAATTTATTGAATATTTACAAGTTCTACTCTTTTTTCAAAGAACTGGTCATATTTAGAAATTCAGCAATACAATGTTTTTGACACTGCTATAGCTAACCGTCAGTTTTGAGTTTATTTGAACATTTTTTCTATTTTACATTTCTAAAAAAATTTTTATAAACTGATTTTCTTTATTTATCTCATCAATATTAGGCAATATGAATTATTTATATTTAATATGTATTTGTACTTGACAAGTTACATATCACCCATACAAATCATCAATACCGTGCACATGTAGCTATATAGTCCATCAACATAATTGTGTCATACTGTTTCTAATCTAAGACTTTTTAATTCTTTTTTTTTTATGAAACTTGTAAAGGATGAAATCTGAGCTTATCAATATATCAGCCGATAAAACTTTAACATGTTTTGGTAAAGAAAGAAAATGCTAGAAAATTTCTCATCCGAAGCTGTATCTTCAAAATAACCAAGTCAGGGTTTTTTTGTCTTTGAAAGCAGTGATCTGAAGTGACAGAAAAAGGTGATGTGCAGGGTTGTCTCCCTTAGATGTGCCCTATGCATATAATATGTTCAAATCCCAGATTCACATTGATTAGTAGGGATGCTGAGATACAGTTATCGATACATTCAAAACTCTATCGATATTTAGTTTTGAAAGTATCGGTTTAGATACATGTATGTTTATGTATCGTTTACATTTTGCAATGTATCATGTTTTTTCTATGTTATGAGAGTTCTCTCTGAGAATAAAAAATGTTGATGTTTTCATGGATAATTATAAAATATGAAATATTAATGTTCAAAATGTAACTAAATTTACGCAATAATGCTGCGAAAACAGGTATCGTGATATGGGTATCATGATACGTATCGAATCGTGACATGGGTATCATGATACGTATCGATTCATGAAACTTATGTATCGTGACATCCCTACTGATCAGGTTTCATGTTTCTCAGCATAGTCCTTGACCTTGAGGGTTTCAGCATCTACTGGTTTTGTGTGAAGATGCATCCTGTTATATAACTGAGATAATGTTCAACCAGGCATTAAACCCATCTCACTCACTCACTCATGTGGGCAGTAAATATTGACAATATCCACTCAGTAATACATACAGTGATGTTTGATTTTGGTCATTAGGACATGTGAAAATATAATTCTTACTAATATAAAACCTCTATAATCCATTGCCATGAATCCTAGGATTTCAGTCATAATGATACCACAGAAGACATCTATCATTTCACTTTTATTTTCTTATTTGGCAGAATATTAACACCAACTGCTGTTTTAGGCAATGGCAGATAAATCATCCTTAAAAAACCCAGTTGTGACATTAAACAAAAATTTGTTCATAGATCATACGGGCGTTGGGGTAGCCTAGTGGTTAAAGCGTTGGCTCATCATGCCATAGACCCGGGTTCGAATCCCCACATGGGTACAATGTGTGAAGCCCATTTCTGGTGTCCCCCGCCGTGATGTTGCTGGAATATTGCTAAAAGCGGAGTAAAACCAAACTCAGTCAGTCAGTCATATAGGTCATAAAACAGCTGTGCACACAGTATATACAGTGAGACCCCGGATATCCAGACACATTCGTTTTGCGTAAATCGTCCGTATAACTGAATATCCGGATATCTGGATTTCTGTCATCCAGGCTTAGGTGTTGAAACGGTAGCGAGCATACACTTATGGTTTAAAGTCACTTCCAAAACAGTGTGGTCATTTTGATTTGCCAAATACAATTCACTGTGCCAGATAGGCCTACTAATCACCACCAATACCCTGCTGATCGGTAAATTAATCCGGATTAGCACTTCACACAGTCACCTGTAGATCAAAGCTTCGTGCGGATAAGTGAGTTAATTTTGTGTTGATACAGATGGTTGGTTTGTAAAATTTACCGCCCATGGAACGGAAACTGCACATCCGTTATAGACAGTCACTTTTATAACATACGAGATTGTTTTTTTATGAAAATTGACTTGAAGGCGAGGTTTCCGGATATTTAGGATCCGGGTATCCGGGGTCTCACTGTATTGAAAGTATTTCTGTATCTTGACCTTACTCATTTTATTTATTGATATACTGAGGGAAACAAATAAGGGAACACCATTTGATGGCAGTGTTCCTTTATGTATTTTCAGGTTTCCTCCCACAGCACTATTCAAAGCTGGTGATGAAAATATTAAAGAAACACTTGAATTTTCCTGTGTTCCTCTATTTGTTTCTCTCAGTATATGTTGATGAGTCAGCTTTTAACATTTGCAAGTTTCATATAAACACAGGTGTTTTGAGGGATGAAGCATTAGCATAACATTAAAATTCAGAATAAAGTTGATAGAGGCATTGTGTGCAATACTGTATAACTTGTTTCTAAATGTTTGATGTTCTAGATCTTGTGATGTATTAAATTGACCATTTTGTGAAATTGGTTTCTGGTAAATATTTATTTAATGTTAATTTGTTATAAATGTATTTGTCAATTCAAATATACTGTACAAAAATATAAGGGATCATGAATATTTTGGGGGATATTTTTATACAATTTTGTGCAAGGCTGTACAACAAAACAATTTCTCTTAAAATATTAATGAAGACAAACGGTTTTTGTTCAGTAATAAACAAATGATCTGATGATTACAACAAATGTCATTGTGATGTATAGATGTCAGAAACGATTCTCATGTCAGTAGGTATTACTAGAAATAATTATGTAATTATGAAACTAAAGATCTCATTGAATGGCAGTCAGAATCTGGTATAATAAACAAGGGGAATAATCTATGAATATACACCTAACACAATTATCAAACAAGTAATCTTTTCCTTGACAACAGCATTAGCATCTAGCCTGAAATGTCAAGTCATTGTAATACAGAGGTAGCAAATCCATAGAGTTATCTCCCTTGTTCTTAAAGATACACTTAGATTTGAAAATCTGTAGCTGATTTCTTCAAATGTTTATTGTTCTAAATAATGTAGAGTAGTTGTTCTTTGAACAACTTTGGAGGAATCAGAATTGTTCCAAAGATACAGGGTCTTAATAGAACATGGTAAGTTGTTAATTTCCATTACTATCGGGGAAACAGTTGCTGGTTATCTCAAAGACTGTAAACTGTGAAAACTTGTTAATCCTCATTTGGTGTGAAGAAATACACCTATCATCTTTCCTCCTTGTATAGACTGTCAATAAAACAGTTGTAAATATTATCCTGAATATTTTAATCTGAATGGTGATATATTTCAAATGTTTTTGTATTTTCAAATTTGAACTTTATTAATTTTGGTTAAGACTTTTTTTTTAAATATTGTAGCTGAATTAAAGGGAGATACAAAGATGTCATCATAATATCTCAACAGCTTTAATCTGCTGTATC